CTCTTAAATTTTGTGTATGAGTCGGTTTTGTTTTTTGCTTAAAAATTACTGGTTTTATTTTTTTTTTGTGGTATTGTTCCTGATTATACGATTTTTGCTAATGAATAAACTATATATTTTAAAAAATGTATACATTTAAAAAAAATTTAAACAAAAAAAAAACTCGTTAAAGCTTGTAAATATGTAGTGCGCTTACAATTTTGACATGGTGTGTACTTATACCTATTTGTTTTAAATTATGGAAGCAGAGTTTTCTACCTAGATGTGAAAAAGTACAAAATGAAAGAAAATTTGTTTTATAAACGAACAGGGTCTCTCTAAACATATTGGTTGCATATGGAAATAGCGAAGAATTACATTTGCGCCGTAATCGGGAAAGCTTGGCTAATTGCTCGATTATTCAAAACGTTTCTCATCTCTTTCAACTCTTTCATGGCTCCCCTTTTCTTCAACTTATTAAAACGAGATAATTATTTATCGAACTGCCCTTCTGCGTACTGTAAAAATAAACCTGTAGTATTTACTACTTGACTTTTACGACCCCTTAATGATAAAAAAATAATAAAAAGTAATAAAAAAAAAATGCTAATCACTCTCTGCGCTATTTATACAATTATCTTAATTGCCTCTTCAGTTTCTCATTAAAATTTTGTAAAAAAAATCTACTTCAAACAGAGGCCCACATACAATCTCAAATATTAAAGTTTTTACTAGACAGCTAATTTTTTCGCCAGCTATCACTTTGCTACAACAATAATTTACGCATAATTTGCTGCACTCTTTCTTTTCTACTTTTCATGCGTTACTTAATGGAATTAATTACATAATTATGTACTTAGTAGAAAATTCAACAACTTATATACATACATACATATCGTCGTTTAAAGTGTATCAAAAAAAAGCAAAACCGCGTATGTGAAGTTGTAGAAATTATTTTCTCGAGCGTAAAAATACTCATATTTCAAAATGGTTCTCTTTTTTATAAAGCAATCGCATTTCTGTCTAGTATATTTCAGGACGAATGGATAAGGATTGAGCCAAGAGCTTGTGTCAGCAAATCCAATTTTTGGCAGCTAATGCCAGTTACGCGGTTTTGCAGAGTGACGATACGCGGTTTCGTACTTTAAACGACGATATACATACATATTTGTTTTGCATTACTTTACAACATACATATTGATATAGAAAGTAATTTCTAAGTAAAAAAATACAACCCTCGACTTCAATGCTCATATAAAAATTTAGGAGTACCGTTAGTTTCTTCATGATACAATAAGTGATGTCGAATAAAAAAAAAATAATAATGATTAAGACAAAAAATGAAAGCAAAATTGAAGACGTAAATGAAAACAATGAGAAATACAAAAGTATTAGGGTAACTGAGGGTTAAGAAAATTTACTGAAAATTTTCAATAGCAATCGAGATAAATTCAGTCATAAAAAATTGGTTATAGAAAGTTATCGAGTTACCGAAATTTATGGAATAATTGAAGTTTATAATTATCGACATTTATCGAGTTATTCATTTTAATTGAGTTGTTGCAGCGTATCAAATTATTCAATTTGATCAATGTTTATTGAGTTGTCGACATTTATAGACACAAAAAATTATTTATCCAAATTTAGGCATAGTTATCTAGCTATAAAAATTGATCGAAAATGAAATTTATCAACTTATCGATATTTATTGAATTATTTTCATATATAGAGTCAATGAAATTTATCAAGTTATCGTAATGCCTCCAGTTCTTTAAACCTATCGAGTTATCGATATTCATTGATTTACTAAAATTTCAAAATATATCGAGCTATCAAAATTTCAAATTTATATAAGTTTATCGAGTTATTACTGCTTACGGGATTTCATGGTTTAACTAGAATTTAAAGGGTTATCGAAATTTGTCGATAGCTTTCGAAAAATATGGAGCTATAAAAATTAACCGAGTTATCGAATTTTATAGATCCATCAAAAGTTTATTGGGTTATCGATTTATATCGAGATACAGACATTTCTAAGTAATCAAAATTGATCGAGCTCTCGAAATGGACTTGGTTGAGGATTTTAGTGTTTTTGAAGCTCAACGAATTATCGATATGTATCCAATTACGAAATTTATCGACAAGCTGGGATGTGTCGGGTCAATTCTAAGTCCTGCTAGGGCCCTCCAAAGACCTTCCAATATACACAAAATTGTAGTCGCGTGTAGTTTCACAGCAGGAGATTTTATGCTAAGTAAATTTGTACCTTATAAGTGCAGCGACGTGCTAAGTTAGAAAACCTCTCTAGGGCTCTTAAAAAACTAGAAAAACGGTCGGATTTCGACAGTAACTGGCACTCCTTGATTCTTTTAAAAGCATGCATGCACATCAAAAACCCGTTTATCGCTGCGAGCTTTAAATGAAAGCAAAAAATGTTCTCTGATATACACATATATAGAGCATGTATGTATGTATGTAAATTTGTTTTTCTTAAAACTCAATGTTGCTTTGTTTTTTCCAGTCCTTACCGAAGTTTGCCATTAATCAAAAATAAAGCAGGTAAAAAAAGGAACTTGGCTTCGTACCCTCACTCATTTAACGCAGACTCACTCAGATGAAACTTGCAAAATCCATTGGCTAATAACGAACAACATTCAACATACATTTTCTACTCTGCTTACCTACATACATTCAACTGCGCGTACAATCAATTTAACCAATTAGTAGAGAATTCAGCGCTTAAGTGAAAAAGGTTTATCTCTACTTGATTTAATCCACGACGAAAATGAAGAGAAATTAAGAAGGCACTAATTAAGGCGGATGATACACGCATGCACATATGTATATGTATGTATGTGTACTGAATATACACAAAAAAATTATTCTTGAATGGCTTTCAAGTGGTACTACAGTGTATGCTTCCCTTCAAATAAAGCAACAAAAAAACTGCTTTACCTAAAACGCAAACAACCCCTTCATAGTACACAGAAACATAGTTGCTTGCGTTTTCTTTAGCTTTGCTTTAATTTTATTTTATTTCTTTTGTCCTATTATTGTCATCATTATCCTGCAACTGGTTCATGAGCAGCTACAAATTACAACTAATCCAATTCCATGACCCTCGAAAAGCTCAAAGCTGCTTTTCTGTTTGCCATTTGCAGTAACGACCCCTTTTTTGCCAAACACACAACTAATCTCTGCTGATTGACGAGCGCACACATTTTCTCAAACATGCGCATACAAGAAAATTAAGAAAAAATGTAATCTACTCGTACATAAGCTCCATTGTAAGCCAACCATGAGAATGAACGCCTTAACTGCCATACCTTCAGCTTTCGCTCAATTGCGGTTTGATTCTGTTTGATTTCACAAGCTGAATAAGCCAATCACTGGGATGAAAATCAGCAAACAAAAAAAAAAACAAGTTTTTCTGTTAAGAAATTGCCCTAAACATTTCAGAGACAGAAAGCAAAAAATTTTAAAGGAAACGAATAGCACACAGGTTGTGTGGCAGGAAACGCAATCAAAGAAAGTTAAAGCATGTCGAACATGCGGCCTAACGGTAGTTTAATTGAGATGACATTTGGTTGTTTTTTTTTTCTGTAGGACAGACAATGTAATCTACTTTGCTTCATGATTTGTCTAACAGTGCTTGCTCGTTGAAGTGTGTTCAAGATTTATGTAACTTGTCTTAGTAGTAGCACATGGCGTATGAGTAACCTAGGCATTCATGGGGAAAATGAAGCTGTTCATGCTAAGCTTAATACGTGTTTTCGGAATGAAAAGAATGTGATTGGAGTTATTCATACTAAAATTCCGTGTAAATAAATATGTATGTATATGGATACCGCCTTTTATAAGTGGGAAAATTTATGCGGCTGTACATGGTCTTAGTCGCAGTGGTGCTTTTACTTGTTTGATAACAATAGATAACCAGCTATATTTAAAACCGTTTGTTCCATGTAGATTACGTTAAGATTATAACTTAATTTGCTTTTTGGTTGTTGTTTTTTTCCAACAGCGTGTGTGTATGATGCATTTTGGAACGAACTTCCGTCAATTTGGAGGGCAATTTTCGCAACTGTCTTTCAACTCACCACAGTTTTTCGAAAGGCAAAAGTCTGGCAACTACATATATTGAAAGCTCGGTAAGGCTTTAGCGTTATACTGTTCGCATTTCAGTAAACAATTTTTTTTTTTAAATTAAATTATAAATTATTTTTCTTTTTAAATCAATAAAAGCTTATAAATAAAAAACAGTTAAATTATAAATATAAAAAAAATAAAAATTTGAAAAATAAACTCACAATATAAATAAAAATATTTTCAAAAATGAAGTGAAATTAAAAAAATATGTACATAATTTCTTTAAAAAAAATAAAATCTTGAAAATTACAGAAAGAAAAACATCAGAGAGTAAAGGTACTCACCCAATGCAGGCTTGCTTTGCTTGCTTCGCTTTGAGTACTGCCACAAGTTATTTGGATATACCAAAACGTATGAAGGCTAACCAAATGGCAGCTTTGCTTCACTTGCTTTAACCGCCTCAAAGTTTCAAATAGGCAAATGTTTTATTTGAAAGCATTTTGTAGGCTTTTGACAAAAAGGTATGTTCCCGTTCTAAATTAATTCCAACAAATTGCTGCACACTTTTATGAACAAAAATTTGCTTACGTAATTAAAAATATATGGGTTATAAGCAGGGCTCGGATTTTGTTGACCTAAAAACTAGCGAAAAATTACCTTAAAAAAATTACATTATGACCTTAAAAATCATTAAAAATGACCAAAAAAAAGAAAAAATGACCTAAAAAATTTAATATTTTATATACATTTAGAAAAATTTATTTTTTGAACCGCTTTTAATTTTCACTTTTATTGCACTTTATAGTTTTTTGTTACAATAAATAACTAGATACATTTTTAAGTTGTGAACATCGAATGATCTTCTATTATCGGCTAATATATTTTTGTACATAGAAATACTTCTTTCTACGTCAGCACTGGATAACGGAGAATACTTGTACAAGACAATGTCGTTTAAAGCCAAAGCATTAAAATGTGTTGTGTTAAAATTTTCACCATTCAAAACATTAGCAATTGACTTTAAACTTTTGTACCCAACATTTTTACCTAGCACTTGATTTAATTTACAATATACTTTGTTAGCGGCTACGCCATGCACAGTACTTAATTTGCTTTTAAGATCTTCAATCAAATTTACACCCACTTCTAAAGATAAATGTTTCGACTGAAGGGATTCTATCGTTTTTGAAATACATGAAAAATTTGCTCTTATATAGGCTAGTTGACCCTTCAGTTCATCATTTGAAAAAAGTAGCTGCGCCTCTTCAATGGCCCTTGCATCAAGGCTATTAAACGAATTTATAACATTTTTCACTGCCTCAAAATGTTCGCAGTAGTATGCACATGCACTTAACAACGTACCCCAACGGGTGATTACAGGCTCTGGAGGGAACGGCACACCAGGTGCAATCATTTTAAATTGATCTTTTCGTGATGGTGCCTTGATAAAAACCTTTTTTGTTTTTGATATGAGCCCATCAACGACTGGAAATATTGATCGTACTTCCTCCGCGACCCTGTGTAAAGCGTGAGCTAGGCACGTTAGGTGTATCATTTTAGGATAAAAACTGTTAATAGATTTTCCTGCTTTGACCATGTAGGGAGCAGCATCTGTCACAAAGAGCAAGACGTCATCATGTCGAACACCTGCAAGCAAAAATTAAATGAATCAAACCTATTATAAAAGTACATACATAATTCGTAAATACTCGTACCTTCTGGCCAAAGTAAAGTCATTGATTTATCAAAAAGCTGGCATATGGTGGTGTGGTTAACTTTTTTGATCATCTCACATGTAAGAAGGAATGTCTGGCATGGTTCTTCTCGCTCCATGGTGCCAACTATAACGTTGGCAATATAACGGCCTTCCACGTCGCTTGTTTCGTCGATTGATACAAAAATTTGTTTGCCGGCAGTGCAGTTTCTTATATTATTTATCGTTGCCTCATAGCACAGCGGTAAGTAGTTTTTTCGCAGAGTCGATTCGTCGGGTATCTTACGCCCTGTGTAAGTTTTCAAAAAACTTTTCAGTTTAATGTTGTTTATTTTACTAATCGGAATATCAGTTGAAACCAATACATCGCATAATTCCCTGAAAAAGTCGTTGTTCTTGCAACTGTTTGATGCAGCTTCAATCAAAAGTAACTGCTTGGATTTTCTTTTATCCAAAAGCTCCAAACCGCGCTTGTGCTTTTCCCGGCCTATGTGTTGCTGCACTGTATATCTCTTGTCCGCCAAAACTTTAACTTCACAAACTTTACAAAATAATATTGCGCCATCAGTCGAAAATATTTCGGAGCCAAATTCATTAATCAATTTATTTAAGTGACTGCTTTTCGATGGCTTTCGTTTTGGCATTTTATTCTCAGAACTTCAAATGTATTCTGAAAACGGTAAATTTATGTGGCAAAAGATAACGACACAACACACCAAAATAAAAATCTAAGTATGTGCCGGTTGTCAATTGGATAGAAAGAGATAACAAGTGAAGCTACAGAAAATTTATAAAGATGCCAGAATTTTGAATTAAGAAAAATTAATTCAGTGTTGCAAAGCGAACTTCGGGAAATTTCTGAATTTACTAAAATTTATTTAATGGCCTAAAAATGGTAAAAAGTATCCAAAAAAATGTGTCAAAACTATGAAAAATTGCCTAGTAATAAAAAATTGGGGAAAAAGGCAAAAAGTTGACCTAAAAACTTTTCAGTTTTGAAATCTAGACTAAATGAACGAAGATTATATATATATAGGAAGCGTCTCCGAAGCACAAAAAAAATGTTGACAAGTCAATAGAATCCTAGCCCTGGTTATAAGTAATTCAAAGTTTAATAAAAATTATTCTATGTTTCCATATTTATACTAAAGCCAGCCTTTCAACATAAGCTACTTTTCCATACGAACACAGATATGTATAACTGTTATCATTCCTTTGAAATGCAAAAATTCATTCGCCTTAATTTAAAAATAAATCCGAAAAGATTGTTTTGTATTTATTTATTGTTTTTAATTTTGTGGAATTTTGTGTGAAAATTATTCTTAGTGTAAGGGAACAGACCTTGACTTTTTAACTACACAGCTGCTAGCTTTGACAGCGTTCCAAGCCGCCATTTGGCCAATCGAGTATTTGAAGTAAATCAAAGCAAATTAAAGTAAGCAAGGCATGCAAAGCAAGCCTGCATTGGGCCAGCGCCTTAATAAAAAAAAAAAATAAAAATTATTGTTATCAGTGCCAATAGCTATGGTATCCGAAATACAGAGGATAGACCAATTATATGTATGTATCTATTTCTAAATTTTTAAATTTGTTTACTTTAGTCTTATTTACCGAATACCGACAATAGGTATCCAGAAGTTTTAAGTTCTTCATACAAAAGCTATTGATATGAACAGCGGTTTTTCTAAAAAGTAAAGTGGTGCTAGGATTTATACACATGCCTGATACTATGGTTACATTAATCGACTTTGGTATTTATAATCAATATCCATATATATGTGCACCGTAAAAGTTATCGATAAATTTATAAACGCAATTACCGATATGTATATAAATATATCCCCACTGAAGCTATCGATAAGATTTTGCAAAGACAACAAATTGCACATCGCTAAATTCCCATCAGTTAAAGTATCCGATTTGCATACTTTGCTTATCATTAAGGGAAACAAATTTTTTAAGTCAATTGCGAAGAACTTTAGCAGCGAAAAGGCCAACAGGATAAACTTTGTTTTCAAATGAATGTTTGTCTCCACTTTGCTTAATACGACAGAGTACTTACATATACTATATGCAAACCGAAGCTAAATAGAAAAGAAAAACACAACAGTTTTTTTAGCTAAAGAAATTGCGAAACAACTTAGATACGCGTATGAAGGAGTATATTTGTCAGCAATCAAATCAAAGCCAATTTGCAGAAAACTTGCAAATTTCTTTGTATTTCAGTTTTGCATTTCGTACGCTTCCAAACACGCGAAGGCCATTGCGCAACAGTGGCAAAAAATTTCGGCTATCTACTTCCTGTGCAGCTATCGGCAAAGCACTCGAAAATGTGACAATCGCCGTAGATGATATTTGCATATGCAAATGTGCGAGTAAGTAGGGTGTTACTTTGTTTAACAAAATTTTTCCACAAAAAAAAAATATTTAGAATTTGTGCAAATATGTACATACATAACCTTTTTATTAAAAAAGGGACATTGCTCCGCAAATATAATACAAGAGATTGTTGCACTTAAATATTGTAGAGCTGTTAGTCATATATGTATGTATGCATGTATGTACATTTCTTAAGCAGTGGCGAAGAAATTCCTTTGAATCTCAAGTGTCTGCATTGGGGAACCCAAAATTTGACCCCAATCAATGTGGTTATTGTTTGCTTTGATCAAGCAAATATGTATGCATAAAAATTATGCAAACCTAGGCTCAACCGGACAACCGCAGACAGCATATGTATGTATGCAGATTAGGGTGCCTCCGCCAAAATATCTCGGAATAATTTTAACACTTACCTGAACTGTACCGGTTTGAAAATAACTCCAAAAACTCACTTTCAAAAATATTTGTTTCAAAATTTCATGTCAGTTGATAGATGAGTGTAAGCTTAAAACCTCTACATAAAAATGTTTAAAAATTTTATCAGCGAAATCAAAATGATGAGCTTTTTGGGGGTATTCGTATTTTAGCGGAAGTCTTCAGGTACAAATAATAATTTTTATAATTTCCATAGAAAAGAGTAAAATTTCGTTTTGTGTGGAGAGTGATGCACCCTAATGTATATGGATGGAGGGACAAGAGGCAAGAGGCTATTTCCACTTACACATTTTCTGTAAATATTTTAATATAAATATATCTAACTTTGGGTAGTGGCGCATCTTCATGCATGGAGCCCCAAAATTGCTGCTTGTCTACTACCTTTGCCCTACTCCACTGCATATAACATACCAATTATTTTCCTTTCACTTCCCTTGCTCTTTCTCTTCAATATCTAAAACAACAGCTTGCTGAGGCTTTAAATTGTTGAGCGAAAAGTAGATATGCGCCTCCTTACTTTTTATTGGGTCTGTGGTTTCTAAGCCCTTTTATAATCTGGGTTTGCGATATCAAGTGCTATGTGAATGGGTGTAATAATTTTGTTGTTTTTAATATTTCAGCTTATAATCGGGTAATACTTTATTTTTGTATGATACAATATGTATAGCAACTCATCAAAAGGATCAAAAAGTCAATACATATTAAAACTAGAAAGAGGAATTTTTCACGTAGCTTAATCTTAATAAATAAACAAAAGGCTTTGGGAAAGTAAACGCTTAGCATACGTGTGTGCACATATGTACATAAGTAAATAAACCTTTTCATACAACTGCTGTTGAAAGTGATGTTAGTTATGTTTTTTCTTTTCAAAGCTTACACGGTATTAACAAAAAAAGGATTGAAACAAATATTTGGCTGAGGAATTATTAAAATGGAATTTCTGTATACCAACTTCGAAATTAGATAAATGCCTACATGTACTCGTACTATATATGTATGTATATATGTATGTACGTATAAAATTAAAAATTTGTTGTTAGTACCCGCATTTCTTTTTTGCTTTAAGACATTGTTTTCTAAGAAATTTCTGAGCAGCATTTTTTAATTTTCTTCAAGTACATAGTATTATGTAAATGATTTGTTAAGGAGATATCGTCGATGTTTCTGCAAAACCGCCCATCGTCCAATTGTAAAACCGCTTATCTTACGGCACTCAAATTTGACAGGAGAGCGAATGAACGGTTTATTCTTTGAAGGTATTGCCTTGATAGGTAGGAAGCTTTTTTTTTGGTAGTATAGTTGCAGTAATGTATTTTAGGGTGCACCTCAATTTTTATTTATTTTTTAATGCCAGCTAGGATACTCTGGCCCTCATAGCCTCATATGTATATACATACTTTTGTACGTATGTATGTATGTTAATGCACAAGGCTTGATTGAAAGCTGCGGCATTTTTCTTGTACCTATATCTATTGGTGATTTCGTTTCTACCAAAAATGTTGCCTTTGCACGGTGCAAAATGTGTTTGATGTTACACTCAACCCCGTGAAAGGGCATGTTTTTGCCTTCTTGTCCTTGTATAGCTCACGCTTTTCATAATAAGGGCAACCATCTCCCTTGATAAATCTTGAAAGGGCAGAAAATGTGCCTTTTTTGCCTTACAAGTGTGTGATGTTTTAATAAGCGAACACACAATTTTCTCACCATTTGCCCTTATTTTAGAATCGGACGCGAAAAGAGAAAGTGGCAATCAAAATCCGACATTTTTTTTTGGTAGAAACGAAAACAAACTTCAATAATTACCTTCAATAAACTTTGCACATGTGGAGACCTAAATATTTCCTGTGCTGTTGAAATCTTTATTAAACTCTTACAAGAATTCGGACGTATTAGTTTATGGCAAAATTCTAAACTTAGGTACATAGGTATGTTAGTTAGGTTTCAGCAATGGAGCTGCTGTTCCACACTTCTTCCGTGCCCTCGGGCACTTACAGGATATATTGCACATTTCTCCTTTGAATTTTTGAAAATGTGAGAAGTTTTGTGGGAATTATACTTCATCTATGTACGCATTGGCGTAAGAAGTACGAAATGAATAAAAGTTCAAAAGAATATTACATTTTGCATAAGCCTACCAGCATGCAGGTGTGTGTAAGGGAATGTGAAGTTAAAAAAAAAAACTATAATAACTACACTACGCAAACGCTACTACAATTTTTCTACCTAAACAACACTTAAAAGCAATAACTTGCGAATTCAATGAAGCCATGAGCAAAATAGAAAAAAAAAAAATGTTTCAACATTTCTCAAATTTCCTTTTTGACAAGCTTTCATTAAGTTTTACCTGTGTGTAATAAAGGTGGCGCAAAACTAGTATTTAAAGTAGATTGGGAAGGCAACCTACCGTCAGTAAATGATGGATGATGGTATTTTCATCTACACCGATGCCTCACAGATGGTCTGTATTCCAAGGACCTTCAGACTATCATATCGTCAGCCTGATAAGTGCAGTGTCTTTCAGGCGGAGATCTTCGCCATAAAGAAGGCGGCTGGTCTCATACGGGATATCTATTGACAGCCAGGCGGCATTGACAAAGTTAGGTTCCAAAGTAGTAAAGTCGAAAAGAGTTCGGAAATGCCGTGCTACGCTGGCTTCACTGAATCACGT